TTTAGCAAAACGTCCTTTCGGCGAAACGTCCCTTCGGTAAAATATCTCTTCGGTGAAATGGCTTCGGCGGTTTCAGTGAGATGGATTTCGGCGAAATGTACCGTAACCTAGTGGTACTATCATTTGTGTACAGTGCATGTCTTTTTTCATACATATCTTGCAAGACATCTTAATCAATGAACTCACCTTACATAAAACAAAATTGAAAAAATAAAAAATAAATCTAAAAGAAAGAAAAAAAATAAAATAAAATTATAATAACTATCTTAATAAAATCTAAACTAAATTAGGGGTTACTTCCAAAGTCTTTAATTTTGTTATTGTTCACTTTCATATGTCAAATTCCAATATCGTGACAACATAATACAATCATGTGAATTTTTTGAACTTCATTTTGCTTTGATCAAATCCAAATTTTTTTTTTGATAAAATTGGAAGATTACTTGATTTTAAAATATCATTTTCTCATACATATTAATTAAGGCTATTTAAAAATAATAAATAAATACAAATTTATCAATATATTTATTTTTTAAAGCTCACTAACTGCTGTATCTGAACTGCTCTAGTTGTTAGTTGTTACTGAAAAATTTTGTACGCTTTTTTTGAAAGATAGAATTGATTTATAATTTATAAAAAAATGCCAAAAAATGTCATTTCAACATTTTACATAAGGATCTGAAACCCGATGCCCGATTAGTAATTACCAATTCGTACATGTTTAAAAAAACTGGATTTTTACTAACTGAAATAGGGTCTTGTTTATTAAAAATGAATTGAATAATGAAAAATTCCTTTTTTTTATCATTTTAATAAAAAATTACTGGGTCTTTTTTTTTTATTAATCAACTTATTAATTAATAAAATAACCATTCTCTATTAAAATCAAAAGCCCAATTTTTTATTATTTAATGAAGAATCGGCCTTTTTTATTAAATTTGAAAAGCCATTATCTTTTTATTAAATATTAAGACAAACCGGTTGTTTTTTATTGAAACTATAAAAACTTTTGTTATTATTTAACTTTTCTTAAAAAACGTTTTTAAAAATGCTTTTTTATTATCAACCGGTATATCAGTTCGGTAAATCGTATGAGTCTAAGGAATCAATTAGGGAAGCAACAATTTCCCTATTAAGGTTTCCTCCTTACTACCTATGCCTCATTATTACCTTACTTACTAAAGCTTCTAGGAATACCCGACCCAACCCGACTGACTGACCAAACCCGAAAAAATATTGGCCAGGTAACCTGGACTGATCGAGCTCTAAACGAGACCATCTGAAGATTTGTTTATTTGATTGAAAGTTTCAAGGGTCTTGAAGCCAATCTTCACAAAAATTTTTAGCTCTCTCTTTTTGCATTTTTAATAATTTAATCTGATACTTTTTTGATGATTGTAGTTGATATTGTTGCATCCCATTAGCATAGTGGTCCACGTGACTTCATGATGATATCTCGGATATTCGGCTTGATTTCATCCGAGGTCTTGTGAACTTTTCAGATGCAATTATTGGGAATGTCGGATTGCTGATCTTTCTATTTAGTGACTGCAAAAAAAAGTAAATATTGTGCGTTTGTTTTCATTGTACAATGCTAAATCTGGTCCATTTAGTAGCCCCTTTGTTATACTTGGAACAATAATTAATAATTAAGTTCATTTGTTGGAAATTTCCTTTTTTGAATTCCAACGGCACGTATATAACGCTCCAAACAAAAAAATATAAATATTTAACAATAAACAATATCAACAAACTAATTATTAAAAAATAACCATGAATAACAACTACATTTCGCAAGGTGATAATGAGAATTTCTTAAAAAATTTATTAAATAATTTTTATAATAAAATTATTGAAACAAATGATTTTAATAATTTTGAAAAAAATTTTATTGGGATAAAAAATGAAATTAAAATTAATAATTATAATGACTATATAGATATTCTTAATTTGATGGAAAATCATAAAGAAAGTAAATTTTGGTTCACAAGTTTAATAGGATTTTTTTATCAACATGGTATTGGTTGTAATTTAGATAAAGAAAAAGCGTTGGATTTTTATTTATTGGTTATTGATAATGAAAAAATTGAAAATGATCTTTCAAATGAAAATTTTAATTTGTTAAAAAATAAAAATATAATTATTGGAAAATATTTATTATCATTATTTTATTATAAAGATATTATTATAGATATAGAAGGTTTTAATTATTACCAAAGCAAGGGAAATAATAATCAGAATGGATTAATGAAACTTGTAAAATTAGCTAAAAATGGTGATCTAGACGCCCAATATAATTTAGCAATTCATTATATGGATGGAGTAGAAATACAAAAAAATGAAGAAAAAGCATTTGAATGGTTTTTAAAATCTGAACAAAGCGAATACCTAATTGCAAATGATAAAAAAGAAAAGGAAGAATTCGAAAAGCTTTTGAAGCTTGCAATAGCAGATAATTTAATAGCATTATTTCATGTGGGGTATTGTTATCAATATGGTAAAGGAATAAGTAAAAATGAAATAAAAGCATTTGAATGGTATACAAGATCAGCTCATACAGGATATACTGATGGTCAATTTAAATTAGGATATTGTTATGACCATGGTATAGGAACTGAAAAGGACGAGATAAAAGCTTTTGAATGGTATTTAAAATCAGCAGAAAATGGACATGCAATGGCACAAAATAATTTAGGTCATTATTTTCAGTATGGTAAAGGGACGACTAAAAATGAAACAAAAGCATTTGAATGGTATACAAAATCAGCTAATGCAGGGTGTTCTTTAGGATACTATAATTTAGGATATTGTTATGAAAATGTTATAGGAACAGAAATTAACAAAACAAAAGCATTTGAATGGTATACAAAATCGGCTAATGCAGGATATGCTAATGGTCAATACAAATTAGGATATTTTTATGACTATAGCATAGGCACTGTTAAGAATGAAATAAAAGCATTTAAATGGTATTTGAAATCAGCAGAAAATGGATATGCAATGGCACAAAGTAATTTAGGTTATTGTTTTCAATATGGTAAAGGAACTGCTAAAAATGAAGCAAAAGCATTCGAATGGTACACAAAATCAGCTTATGCAGGATGTGCTAGTGGACAATATAATTTAGGACTTTGCTATGAAAATGGTAAAGGGACAGAGATTAACAAAATAAAAGCATTTAAATGGTATGCAAAATCAGCTAATGCAGGATACATTGATGGTCAATATAAATTAGGACGTTGTTATGATCATGGTATAGGTACTTCTAAGGATGAAATAAAAGCATTTGAATGGTATATGAAATCAGCTATTGCAGGGTATGCTAATGGACAATATAATTTAGGATTTTGCTATGAAAATGGTAAAGGGACAGAGATTAACAAAACAAGAGCATTTGAATGGTATACAAAATCAGCTAATGCAGGATACATTATTGGTCAATATAAATTGGGATGTTGTTATGATCATGGTATAGGTACTATTAAGGATGAAATAAAAGCATTTGAATGGTATAAAAAATCATCTGATGCAGGGTGTGCTTTAGGATACTATAATTTAGGATTTTACCATGAAAAGGGTATAGGAACAGAAATTAACAAAACAGAAGCATTTAAATGGTATGTTAAATCAGCAATTGCGGGAAATACTAATGTTCAATATAAATTAGGATATTTTTATGACCATGGTATAGGAACTGAAAAAAATGAAATAAAAGCATTTGAATGGTATTTAAAATCAGCAGAAAATGGACATGCAATAGCACAAAATAATTTAGGCCATTATTTTAAGTATGGTAAAGGAACTGCTGAAAATAAAATAAAAGCATTTGAGTGGTACACAAAATCAGCTAATGCAGAATGTGCTTTAGGACAATATAATTTAGGATTTTGCTATGAAAATTGTATAGGAACAAAGATTGATAAAACAAAAGCATTTGAATGGTATACAAAATCAGCTAATAAAGGATTTGCTGATGGCCAATATAAACTAGGATATTGCTATGACGTTGGTATAGGTACTACTAAAGATGAAATAAAAGCATTTGAATGGTATTTAAAATCAGCAGAAAATGGATGTGCAATGGCACAAAGTGATTTAAGTCATTATTTTCAGTATGGCAATGTAACTGCTGAAAATAAAGCAAAAGTATTTGAATGGTATACAAATTCAGCTAATACAGGATGTGCTAATGGGCAATATAATTTAGGATTTTGCTATGAAAATGGTATAGGAACAGAGATTAACAAAACAAAAGCATTTGAATGGTTTATGAAATCAGCTAATGGAGGAAATGCTATTGGACAATTCAAATTAGGGTATTTTTATGAATGTGGTATAGATTCTATTAAGGATGAAATAAAATCATTTGAATGGTATTTAAAATCAGCAGAAAATGGATATGTAACAGCACAAAGTAATTTAGGTCATTATTTTCAATATGGTAAAGGAACTGCTAAAGATGAAGCAAAAGCATTTGAATGGTACACGAAATCAGCAAATGCAGGATGTGCTAGTGGACAATATAATTTAGGATTTTGCTATGAAAATGGTATAGGAACAGAGATTAACAAAACAAAAGCATGTAAATGGTATATGAAATCAGCTATTGCAGGAAATGTTAATGGGCAATACAAATTAGGATATTGTTATAATTATGGTATAGGTATTGCTAAGGATGAGATAAAAGCATTTGAATGGTATACTAAATCGGTTAATGCAGGGTGTATTTCAGGGTATTGTAATTTAGGATTTTGCTATGAAAATGGTATAGGAACAGAGATTAATGAAATAAAGGCATTTGAATGGTATATGAAATCAGCTATTGCAGGAAATCCTAGTGGACAGTTCAAATTAGGATATTGTTATGACTATGGTATTGGTACTTTGGAGGATGAAATAAAAGCATTTGAATGGTATTTAAAATCATCAGAAAATGGACATGCAACAGCACAATGTAATTTAGGTCATTATTTTCAGTATGGTAAGGGAACTGCTAAAAATGAAGCAAAAGCATTTGAATGGTACACGAAATCAGCAAATGCAGGGTGTGCTTTAGGCCAATGTAATTTAGGATTTTGCCATGAAAATGGTATAGGAACATATAATGACAAGACAATAGCATTTGAATGGTATTTAAAGTCAGCTGAAAATGGAAATATAGTTGCACAGTATAAATTGGGATGTTGTTATTCAAATGGTGCAGGGACAAACATAAATAATGTGAAGGCATTTGAATGGTACTTGAAATCAGCTGAAGGTGGAATTGCAAAAGCACAGTATTATGTAGGGAAATGCTATTATGATGGTATAGGTATTGTTAATAATGTTGACAAAGCAATTTATTGGTATAGAAAGGCTTCAAAAAATGGAATTAGAGAGGCAAAAGATAAATTATCTAGTATTTTACCATACTATTAAAGGACTATATAATAATTTTATTGCTATAGAAAAGCTTCAGCAGAAAGTGGAATTAAGAGATAAATTATAATTTAGTTAGTATTTTACCATCTATTTATCTGTTATATAGGACTATAATTTCTGCAATCATGTAAAGTAAATCATATCTGGTCAATTATTATATGTATGATAATTATTTGATTTTTTTTTTATCATCATTACAATTGCATTTTTAATTAATAAATGGTTGCTGATAAGATTATATATATTTTTTAATAAAAATAAAATATATTCATTATCAGATTTTATGTGTCGAGAACCATATCCTTAAATGGTTTGATTATTTCGCAGTTCGCATACTAAAATAGTACTAACATCAAATACTACTTTGGAAATGCAATAGACATTAAAATTTTATTTCTACTAGTTAATTGAATTTTTTCGTGGCCTAATTTTTTTTTCAATATTTCTATTAGGTTTTTGTTTTCTGCTCACACAATGAATATTTTTTTGTACGCATAAAATTAATTATATTGGAATAGCATAGTCGGTGTAGACTTCGATATAAAAAGTAAAAAATTTTAATCAACTTTGGCAACTGAAGAGAGCATTGCATTTTTTGCCCTCTTTCTTTTGATTATGATTGGATGGACATGTGGCAATTGTGGCATGATTATAGCCTATATTACTACATAAACCACGTTTATTCTATGTTAAACTACCACCAGCATTAAATTGAGTGGAGGTTTCCAAAGATCCTTTAAATCTTGCAGTTCTAGCAAGTTTTCCTTTAGGACGTCTAATTAGATCAAAATTTTGGTATTCCAATTTAAGCGCTTTATAATTTTTATTTCTTCAAGTAAATTAACAAATAGCTTGTCACAAGAATTAGAAGCAATCTGTTTAGCTTGTCTCATTGTATGTTAACATAATGCAAATGTTTTTTATTAATAGAAGCATATGAAGTATTAATTGAATTAAGAAAGTAAAATTATTGTTGGATTCCAAAAGTGAAATCTCTAATCAGCACCAAATTTAGAAGCAGAATAAACTCACGCGCTTTCTCTTATCTAACTTCATAGTTTGGTAACCAGAGAGGGTATGTTCTCGGCATCTCGGTCCTCTTGGTAAGCCCTTACAATTTCTGCGAGTTCTTTACGATCGGCTGTTTTGCATGAGGCAGGGCAAGTCCCTGTTATATGCCGAAAGGGTTGCTTTTTGAAATCCAATTGTTTTGGAATAAGTCTAATCTAATACTCTAGCATCATAGCTAAATGTCATTATGATGTATTTGAGGAGAAGTAAATAATTTAAGTTCTTTGATTACCACTCGAAGTAAGAGTTGTATACTTAGTACATAGAAGTGTATTTTTCCAATTAATATAATCATCATTATTCTATTCCTATGTGTTCTTCACTGTAGGAAATAAATCAACAAGTGTAGTAAGATCCGTATACAAAACGTATCTTGCAAGATACGGAATTGTGCATTTTCCCGTATCTCTAAACGTATCTAGACGCATCTAGACGTATCTCTCAGCATACAAAACGTATCTTTTAGTATAAGAAACGTATCTACTTTTTTTATAGGGCTTGTTCGCATTATTTTTAACAGTTCAGTATAGGTTTACATACCATTTACAATTAGTACTACAAATTTTTGAAGGTTTGGATGGATTTTTTCTACTTACACAGGTATAATATTGCATATTTTCTACGTTTATTTTGTAACTTTTCTGGTCTTCATTTTCAAATAAAAAACCTTGCTGTTGGAACCATTGTCTAATATGATCAAATGCCAACTTCCAGGTAGGAAAGGATTAAAGTTGGAGTACTTGAATCGCAAGTACTAGAAAGATTTTCATCAATTTCAAATCATTTTCACTATCATCTTCTGGAATACTATTTAAAACTTTTCAGGAATTTCAATATCGGGGTTATCACTAAATATGGATTTTGAATCACTCATTTTAATATAATTTATAATAAAAGAATGGAGAGAAAGTGTTGAGAGATGTGAAAATAGAAAGAAGAAAGCAAGGAATGTAAGAAACGGCATAAAAAGCTTAATAAAGGTTAAATCAATTTTAATCTTATAATCAAAAAGTAAATCAGGTCATGATGTCACAATTGTAACATGCACGCAATTAAATTGCTACGCATAGGGACATATTATATACTCCGCGTAAAATATAAATCAAAGTTTTGTAGTTTTCAAAATGGTGTGTATCATCAATTATCTAATAAAAAACTTTAGAATATTTTGAACCTAACATACTATGCTTCGTTGGCAATACTTGTATTAACAGGTTTATTTACATCTTCTCCTTGTTTGAGTTATAAGTCAGTTTATTATGTACAGATTTTGAGTTTTCTCGTCTAAATATTAAGATTACTGTGATTTCTGACACTTTTCTTTATACTTTAAAGGTTCTAACGTATTTTTCTACTCATAGAATTATTTTTCAATTACATCCAATTCCAATTTATACCATTAATAAGATTTTGTGAGTAATTCAATTTTTCTGATCATTATATATATGGCGTTATATAACATGGTTTATTTAACAATTGGGATGATTTAAATAATTTTAAAAGGTTATATAAGGTTTTTCTACAAATATTGGAATATTTACTATTAGATCTTATCAAATTTGAACAAAACTAACTCTACAGCTTTTTTTTTATAATTTTATGACAATAAATGCCTTACGCTCCAAATAATCTGAAAATCAAGTTAAATATATTTAAAAATTAAATGTTATTAAACCATTTACTTGAATTAAAATTTTATTATGCTTTTAAAAACTTTTTTAAAACATTTTTATAATAATAAAACTAACCGTTATATCAATTATTATTATTTTTTTTGCAGGAATTTCTGTTAAAACTTGAATTTTTGTATTGTAAAACTGAAAACTTGACAAACTCTTGACAAGATTTAAGTCGTAATCAAGTAAAGAAAGATTGGAAATTATAATACATAAATAAAATTCTTTTTCGTGTCACAACCAGACGATGATTTATGACAGTTCACAATAAATCTCAAAAGTCACAAAATTATATGATAAATACAAAATTTTGATCCTTTATACATAATTTTCCACGATTTCCACATGATTTTTCATATAATTCCCATAATCTCTCAGTATCGCAAATTTTATGAAAAGCGCCACAAAATTTAATAATATACCGCGAAAAAATATTTATTGTAGCGTATATTCACTCTTTATACCATAATTTGCAACCAATCAAATATTTGAAATTTTGTAAAATGCTTAATAAAAAAATCAATAAAAATTTATTAGCTTACTATAAGAGAACTGAACATTTCAATTATGTAATTTGAGTATTACCTTATTTATTATTAGCGTGAACATATCTTAATGAAAAGAATTTTCGTTTGCTGCTGTTGCTGCTGTTGGCTACAAATTGTTGATTCCAAAAATGATGACCTTTTAGAAAGTATAGTAGTAGATACAAGCTTTTGACGACCCAGATAAAAATTCTTCAATATTTTTAATCACAAATATATTTTTTATTTTTTTATGAAGTTAATTCATCTAAGTATATTTCTAAAAAAATTTGAGATGATACTGCATTTCTAACCGATTATATTAATCGATTAACCTTATTCGATTTCATCCTCTAGTTTAATGTGTTATACATATACAGTACATTCTTCAATTCGAAAAAATATACAGTACAGTAATTATGATCGCTTTGTGGAAACCAAAAAATCTTAAAAAATAAAAATAAACATGAAAAAAATAAAAATAAAAATTAATAAAATATAATTTTATACAATTAACTCGATTTTAACATTAGGTAATCGACAAAAATCCATTGGTGTATACATAATACCTAATAATCACATGATCGATTTTCTAAATTCTAATTGATATTACATTTATCAGGCGTATTATATTATATTATTATATTATATATATTCATATTTTGTTAGTTGCAACTAAAAAAAATATAATATGGATTTTTGATATCAGTGTGATTATCGCCTATCAAATATCATAGTCGATTGTACTACAAGCAACTGAAGGAATAAGGAATGAAGGAAGTTTTGCAGGTCAGATGAACTTGCATTTGAATTTTAGGCGTATTACAAAACGTAAAAATTAATGCCTTGTAAATTTTGCCTGGTAAACTTGGCGCACTCCAATATGCCAATAAATTTATTTCGCAGATTATTGTTAATTTCAGCTAGAATTAAAATTTTCCTATGGCCAAAATTAGGATAATTGATCATGTGACTAGTTCATGATCGTCGTGGTACTTTGAACTTTTTTTTTAGTCCAATCCAGATTTAGTCTGGTCCAATTTTTTTTTAAAAAACGACTTCAAATTTTAAAATTGGTCACAAAAGCAGTTCTAAACCATTTGACCCATCCCCAGTGAAAAACTCGTTGCGCAATTAAAATGCAATTGCGCAATCTTAAAACTTAGTTCCAAAAATTCCTTAGTGGTTCGCAGAGACGAAATCCTTAATTATTTGTAATAAAAATAATAATAATAATTAAAGTAATAAATATTACCACATCGACAAAAATAAATGATCTGTAATTCAATCCAAATCCAATTTAAGGATTGATCAAAAAAATCACATGATCAGTGTAACAAACACTTATGCAAAAGTATAAATATCGGGGGTAAATTGTGCTTCGGATATTCTTTTTTTCAATCGAATTATTTATAATGTTTGATAAAAATGAAATACAAGTTACCAAAAATTCAAATGAATGGATTAGTTTGATTAACGTTAATGAATCTATTTCTAAAAATCTTATAAAATACTATGAATATAAAGATTTTTATAATATTGAACAAATTGATAATGGTTACTTTGGAAAAATTTATCGTGCAAATTGGAAAAATTCGAAACAATATTTTGTATTGAAATCCTTTAATTTTGACAATGATGTCATTGTAAAAGAAATCATTCATGAGGTAATTGTAAAATTATAATTATTATTATTTTGTATTTTAGTCTTAAATCATTTACAATACATATTCATTATAATTTAGGTTGAACTTTATCGTAAAAAGTTGATTTTTCATAAAAATATTGTTAGTTTTTTTGGAGTTACAGATAAAGGTATAAAAATGTAATAATTATGAGTGATGTTTAAATAGTTTATAAAAAGCATTAATAATTTTTTTTAAAAAAAAATTAGAAAATCAAAATGGTCAAGCGAAAGAATACTTTTTAGTAATGGAGTACGTTAATGGTAGTTCTCTTCAAAACTATTTGAAAGAAAACTTTGAAAATCTTACGTGGGAAGATAAGTTTAGATTAGCATTCCAATTAGCTCATGTTGTATCATGTTTACATAATAAAGGAATTGTGCATGGAAATTTGGTAAAAAAATATATTTTTTTTTAATTTTTTAAAAAAATTTTATTATATTTTTTTTATTAATCATTTATATTTAATTTATAATAGAACTCTGGCAATATATTAGTTCATCAGAATAATATCAAATTAGGCGACCTTGGATTATCAAAAAGAATTAAAGAAGCGCTTAAAACACCTATGGATCAATCAGAATTATTTGTTGCAGCTCCTTATATTGATCCAATATGGTTTAATAATAGTAATAATTTAATGCAGCCATACTCATTAAGTGAAAAGAGTGACGTCTATAGTATTGGAGTACTTTTATGGGAGATATCGAGTGGTCAGTTACCATTTAAAGGCGAATCTTATGATGCTAGTTTAGTTATGCAGATTTCAAAAGGTTATAGAGAAAAAATTATTTCGGATACTCCTATAGATTATTCTAATCTTTATACCGGTAAATATAATTCTTACTATAATTATGATATATATTGTTATTCTTTATTTTAATATTTATTTAATATACGTTTTATTAGAGTGTTGGAATGGCGAGCCCAAAAATAGACCATCGATGAATCAAGTGGTTGATAAGTTAAAGTCAATCATTACAAAAACACATATAACAGAATCTCAAATTATTCAAAAAAATGATAAAATGAATATAAAGGAAACAGAACCTACGATTCAAAATATTAATCGAGCTATATTTGAAGAGGATTTAAGTATTGTTATTGATGAATTGATTAATTTATATTTTGAGGAGGTAAATAAAGGAAAGGAAGAAAATGTAAGAAAGCAATTTGTTATTGATTATATTAATAATTCCAATATAAGTTCACAAGAAATTTACAATTGGCTTTTAAATAATCAAAATGATTCAAATTCTATTTTTTTACTTGGATATTTTAATAATTATGGAATTGAAGCTAACATTAATAAGCAAAAGGCGCTTGAATTATATCAAAAAGCGGCGGAGTTAGAAAATACTGCAGCACAATTTGATCTCGCTTATTTACATATTTACGGAAAAGGTATTGATAAAAGTTATGATAAAGTTTTTGAATTATCATTAAAATTAGCGGATAGAGAATATCCAGCTGGAATGAATTTATTAGGATATTGTTATAATGTAGGAATTGGAACCGATGTTGATAAACATAAGGCAGTTGAATTATATTATAAAGCAGCAAATTTAGGAAATATTAGAGCTCAATGTAATCTTGGTTTAATTTATGAAAGTGGAGATGGTGTCGAAAAAGATCATGATAAGGTTTTTGAATTAGCTAATAAATCTGCAAATGGAAAACATTCGGATGGAATAGGCCTATTAGCATATTGTTATTATAATGGACTTGGAACTGATACTAATTTTCAAATGGCATTTGAATTATATCAAGAGGCAGCAAATTTAGGGAATGATGTAGCTCAATATAATCTTGCTAATATGTATGAATATGGGGAAGGAGCTGAAAAAAATATGAGCAAAGCAATTTATTGGTATAAAAAATCCGCCGAACAAGAAAATCTGGGCGCTCAAGCTAAATTAAAATCTCTTTTAAAGTTATGAGAGTAACGTGGCCCAATCTTTAGGCGAAATGATAGGAGTGTTATCTTTCTAACGCTTTGATCATGTCGTATTTTTTTTTTTAATTACGGTCATAATTAAGATTTTCATTTATAATATTCCATTTTACAAATAGTACATTTATCACTTTAATAAAATGCTGAGTGATAAATACTGTTTAAATTAGATTACTGTGTAAACATATAGTATATATAGGTATATTAGTGTTTTTAATAATCAATACGATAGATATTATTTTTATTATCGATCAAGTTAAAAAAAAACGGTCAAATGAAAGTTCGTTAATCAATATATAATTTATAAAATTTATTTTTAATAGCATATCTTAGTGTGAGAGAAATTTATTAATAAATAACTTTTGATTCGTAAAATTTAAATAAAAAGACATTTTTTTTATTTTTTTGCGTGCATATTTAGCGATAATTTTCTTTATTATACCATGTGAAATTGAATTCCTATGCATGATGTTGCTGAATGTCGGTTTATTATTCGGTGATAATTTTCTTTATTTTCCCATGTGATATCGGAAAACTATGCATGTATGCATGATGTTGCTGATGTCGGTTTACCAAACAATGTAATTAAGTTTTTTTTCAATAATTAGCGACTCCAATAAATTCTTTACATAATTATAATTTAAAAATCACATTCGGCATTCCTTGAACATGATTTGCTTGTTTCCGCAGAAAAAAATAAAAATTACAAGATTTTTGCATTTATGGCGTAGCAAAATCGGTTAAGGTTTACAAATCATTTTTTTGTACCACGTGAATCGGGTCATGACTAATTATCGGCCATTTCCGAACATTTTAATCGACTGTGTCCAAAATATCAAGTGATTTACGCACATAATAAATAAAGTACATAAAAAAAAAAATATTTTTTTTTTTTTTTGTTATAATTTTTTTTTTCTAATAATAAAAAAACCACCGCAAAATTATTATAATATCTATATTTTTTTTCTTTTATAAAAAAATTAATAAAATGAATATTAAAGAAATAGAACCAACCATTCGATACATTCACACAAACATATTTGAAGAGGATTTTAGTTTTGTGATTCATGAATTAGTCGACTTTATTTCTAAAGAATTAAATGAAGGAAAAGAAGAAATAATAAGAAAGCAACGTGTTCTTAATTATGTTAATAATCAAAAAATAATTTTAAAAGAAGTTTATCATTGGCTTTTAAATAATCAAAATGATTCAACATCTATTTATTTACTTGGATATTTTAATTATCATGGAATTGAATCTAATATTGATAAACAAAAAGCATTTGAATTATATCAAAAAGCAGCAGAATTAAAAAATAATTTAGCACAATTTGATCTTGCTTTAATGTATGAAGATGGTGAAGGTGTTGAAAAGAATTATGATAAAACTTTTGAATTATCAAAAGATTTGACTGAAAGAAAATTTTCAAGTGGAATAAATTTATTAGGATATTGTTATTATAATGGAATTGGAACTGAAGTTAATAAACAAAAAGCTTTTGAATTATATAATAAGGCAGCAAATTTAGGAAATAATAGAGCTCAATGTAATCTTGCATTAATGTATAAGAATGAAAATTTCTTAAAAGATGATAATAAGGTTTTTGAATTATCTAAAAAATGTTCAGTAGGAAAACATTCTGGTGGAATAAATTTATTAGGTTATTGTTATGATAATGGGATTGGAACTGATATTGATACGCAAAAAGCATTTGAATTATATCAAGAGGCAGCAAATTTAGGAAATAAAGTAGCTCAACATAATCTTGCTAATATGTATGAATATGGTGAAGGAGTTAAAAAAAATACGAACAAAGCAATTTATTGGTATAAAAAATCTGCTGAACAAGGTTATCAAAATGCTCTGAATGTATTGAATAATTTTTAAAACGTAATTTTTAAGGTTTAGTAAGAAAAGTTGATTTTTATCTTAAATATCAATTTTAATTTTGATATGTGCAAGTCACTAATTTTAATAAATAAAACTATGACATACTGTAAGTGAGCAAGTCACAAAAATACCGATGACATACTTTACATCAGTAAGGAGTGAGGCGCAGATAATAAACATGGTACGCTCATATTCTCTTTATCCGCTTCTTTATCTGAAATTCTCATTTCTCTGTTGAATGTATCCTTAAATTTTAAATTTATATTAAATTGTATTGAGTAATTCTTGAATTTGTGGATCAACCACATATTAACTTCTTTAGTTTCCCGCGTTAACGATTTCTCCAAAAGCGTCGCTTCATTTTTGAAAAATATCTGTTGTAATAATTTTAATAAAGCTCGCTTTATATTTTTACGCAAAAAAATTTCTATCACCTCCACAATTTTCTCAACTAGAAATGTCTTCATCAAAATCTCTTATTAACCGCCATTGATCTCTCCTGCTCGTTCGACTGTACTAATATTTCCTCTAGTCTATACCAATGAACGTAATTTTCACTTATTATCACTCCGTAAGTATCTTTGTTAAATTCTTATTCATATTCTTTCTCAAGACAAATTTCTGTTTGATATTTAGTTTTACTCCTAAATGACGTCTATCTTTTCAACGCTTCGGAGTATCATGAATATATTTTTATCACTAGCTTTTAAAGCTTTGTGATTAGATTCTTTTTGTAATGTTCTCTTGACTTTGTGTTCGGATATAAATTTCTGTCTTTTTGATTTACTCTTGATTTCATCATTTTGCTGTCGTATGATCTTTGTATGAAAATTTTCTTTTTCATTTATGAATCACGAGACTTTGGTTATCTCGCTGCGCTTTCTGTAACCATTTAATACAATCTTCCTTTTTTTTATTAGATGATTTTTTTGTAATTTATGAAACAAAATTGTTTTTATAAAGTTTCACATCTCACGCAAAACAATGTTCTTAAATAATATTTTAATTTAATGTATTTTTACTATTAATAATAATAATAAATGTAGAACAAAGATTGGATCATTTGACGCTAGTTTCAATAACCGTATAATAAAGAATGTTCATAATTAAATTTACTAATAATACCAAGATTTTTATATTTATCGATCATCATTCAGAGTTGGGTTTATTATTTAGGTATCGTATTTAAAATTTATGTTATATAATTCTATTGTAAACATTTTATATTAAATATCCTAGGTCTAATGCTGCTGGTATGATGATGATTCAGCACTGTAAGGGTTAGCAACTTTCTTAATTATCATCTCCTCTAGTGAATTTCAAATTAAATAAAATATTATTTTAATATATAATAAAAAAATATATTACCCTCGGGATGTGATAAAATTTAAATCGACCTATATTAATATATGTAGATCATCAATTTAAAAGTGGATTTTCTCAACGACTACTGATTGAATCTTTAAAAAATGAGCTAATTTTTATTCAGGGAATCATTTTTTTACACCTATTTTACGCTAACCGCTTTGGTTGAAATGTTAAAATTTTTTCTACTTTGAAAATTAAGTATTTATATAAAATTTTACCATTAATTAAGCAAGGAAATGGTTCAAAATAAGTTTTTACACTTTTAATTTTAAAAAATAATTAATGTTATTTAATTTTTAGGCGGTCGTCACTTTTTGTAACCTACTGTATGTTTAGTCAATCTTACAATCACACATAAAACTTCATCAATGAAGATATCAAATTTTGTCAAACCGGATTTGCTTTATTAAAACATCTTTAAAATTCGTCAAGTTGTGCTCTATTAATATTTAAGTAACACCAAAATTTTAAATGAAATGAATGCATGAGAATTTTAATAAGCATGTAACGGAACATACTCTTTTCGTAGAAAAAAATTTGTAGCGATTTTAAAAAATATCACTTTATTATCCACTAGTAAAAATGTGAATGTTTCCTTTTTTTTATAAAAAGCGCTCTTTAAATGAAAAAAAAATATATTGTAGTAGGTAGGGATGGTAAATTAACGGTTAATTATAATTTAGTTAATTAACCAGTTAATTAACCGTTAATTAACCGTTAATTAACTGTTATTTAACCATTGTTTAATTTTATAATTCTGGTCAAATGTATTAATTTTGTTAGTTTAAGCCAAATTAACTATAATCACATGATTTAAATCTCTTTTTTGATTGGTTAATTTATAATTAACCAAATTAACCGTTAATTAACCAATTTTAGTTAAACATAATTAACAAAATTAACTGTTAATTAACCGCAGTTAATTAACCATGGTTAATTAAACCCCATCCCTAGTAGTAGGGTAATTTTTTGTTTGTTAAAATTTTTGTGTGATGTCATTAACATACACTAGGAAACGGTAATTCAGTAATTCGTCATGTTAACCATCTTTGATAGAATATTAATAAGAATTGACTGGTTTGATAACGAAAGTCAGTATAAAATCGGTATGTATATAAATCGGTATGTAATCGGTGTAATTGTATAAATCGGTATGTGATCATCAATCGGTATAAAATCGGTATCTGCAATTTTTGAAATAGAATTTATTGCATCATTTTAATTTATACGTAGAAATAAAAATGAATATATATATTAAATCTAAGATGGTAATGTATAAATCTAAAAATGTCCAAATCTAAAATCTAAAATATACATAAATGAAAGAAAACGTACTAACTACCACCACCAACCACCACCACCACCACCTCCGCCTCCGCCTCCACCTCAACCTCCACCACCTCCATTACTACTACCACCACCTCCTCCTCCACCACTACCACTACCATCTCCACCTCCTCCACCACTACCACCACCACCTCCTCCTCCACTACCACCATCACCATCACCACCACCACCACTACCACCTCTACCTATACCTATACTACATCGCCTACTTTACTACGTTCCTGTTTTATAAAAAATTTTGAGAGATATTGCTTCATGGTGGACAAGTAGGCGTCAGTGTTGGTGATGGTGCGTTTCTGTTCTATAAAAAACCAACGTTGACTCCTTTTAGAATTTATATTAGCTTGATGATTCCATGAATGATATATTGTTATTATTTACATGATTAAAAAGATCATTATTTCAAGATAATGGTAAACTTTCAATTACTTTATTAGTGAGAAAGAAGATAATAATTTGGAATACTTTCATATCACAAACGATAAAAACAATGCAGTTCTAAAATGAAATATTTAATTTAGATAAATATGTATATATAATTTTGGAATGTGATAATATATATTGAATTTGAAATGTTTTGGAATAAAAAATTTCGAAACGAGAATACTATAACGTTTATATTTAAGGTAAATGTTACAAATTGAACATAGAATATTGAAACCAGATTTTCGAGGTAGGGTTTATAAAGAAATTTGATACTATGAAAATGATAATCTATTTTATCTAAAATAATATGAATGGGAAAATTACTTTTTTTTTTATATAGTTTAATCATAAAATTAATCAATTGGTAGCTTTGCGTACAAATATAACAAAATTTGGAATAATGAAGTTCTTATCTATTATCAGAACTCGAGAGTATAGAACACTTATGATAAGAATTTAAATAGATGAAGATAAAGATATGTATAATCACCATGTTGATTGAGATTTTAAGGAAAAAATTGTTTTCTGGTATTGATAATGTAATAGGAGAAATCCAAGATGTTGTCGGTATCTGATCAAAATCTCGACAGCCACTTTGCACGACTAACACAAGACAACAAAATCTCGACAATCCAAAATCCTGACAAGTCATTATATCGACAATTTTGTGATGTGTGTTCTAATAAAATAATTTGTTGCAATATGTAATATTTAGTTTAAATGTGTTGTAATTTTGTCGGGATTTTGACTTGTCAGAATTTTGACTTGTCAAGATATTGGATTGTCAAGATTTTGTTGTCGATTGCTCAAATGATTTTCGAGATTTCGTACCAAAACCGATGTTGTTATAGTTGTTGGTAATTAAAGACTTTTGATATTTTCCTGCAAAATAATTTTGTTAATACTACCTTTGAATTGTAGATGGTTTTTCTTTATTCCTTTTTTGTTTCAAAAGATGATGTATTATAATACTCACTCTTATTTGTAATAGTCATTTAAGAATTCAACTAGGTTTTCTTGGTTTAGCTAAAAATTTTAAAGAAACTTCATTATTTTTGAATTTACAGGTTGAAATTGATCTTTATTATTCCCATACAATTAGAGAATTAGTTAAATTAATTATTATAATGCTTAAATTCTTTTTAAATTAATTATTACCACATTATATAGATTAATTTATTATTTCTAAATAAACAGTTTCAATATTACTATTATATAGAAATGGATTATGTTTGCAAGTTAAATATACGAGTGGTTTTAGGAACCTTGAGGAGAGAATCGAAGAAAGCCCTGCCTGCCTATTCACTCCGTTAATCTAGAAAGGGTTATTATTGGCAAATAAATAACATGCGCCTGATACCTTTTCATCACGAAAAAATTTATTTTTGAATGAGCATTTAGCACATCTCAAATTACTTTTGACTTGTTGAGTTGCTGTATCCTTGATCCTGTTTGCTAATTAAAAATTTAGGATCATGGTGTCTGCAACTCTGCATTGAGTGAAACTTACTCTTGAAGATGCTAAGAAAATTAAGAAATTGTTAATGACTTTTGGAAAAGTACGGTACTGTATATTAACAATCATTTGCCATTATTATGGTGTTTACATTAGTGGTAATTCATGGTATGAAATGTAAAATATCAAGATAAATGGTAGATAAATTTGATTAGCAGAAAAAACAATGTAAACCAATAATCTTTATTATAAATTGTTATTCTATATTGATCATGTTGATTCTGTTAGTAAAGTATATATCAAGAAAATTTGTGTACAAATTATGAACTTGAAAATATGCTAGTGCCCTAAACCAATTATCACGAATATGGCATAGCACAATATAATGACCGTTAGGTAGAACGAAAGCATATAGACCATTTTTTAGGAACAATATCGAAAACATCAACGTCTATTTTCTCCTATTGGAAATCTTCTGATCTTACAATTCACACTCAATCCGATAACTCTATTCAATAGACCAGCCATATTCAGATCATTCAACATTTGTACTGTGTATTCTGATAAAGTTGGAAACACCGTTGGGTTCAGTGGATTTATCACAATATTGGCAGTCATAACCTCTGGTGGTTGTAGCTCTCTTGGTGGAAGTTCTAGAATAGCGTTTCATCCCAGTCTTCTTATTGGTCTTCCCGGAACTTCCATAAAAAGTTTCTCCAGCAATATGATTTCCGTCATTGTCAACATGGTTTCTTCTGGCTCCTTAAAAATTAATAATTTCGAGTTTATTGATCAAACATATACAGAAGTATATATAAATCATAGACTTACCAACTGATCCTGAGTAAGTACGTTCATTTTGGTTTAATAATACTTCTTCATGCTCTTCATATAGTTCCCCTGCTTCAATCCACTTAGCAAGTTCAGTCTGATTAACAGATGCTATCAACTCTTCATTATGCCTTTTAACTCTTCTTCTAATTCCTTGGTCATTTTATACGTAGTCATTTTATAAGTAGACATTTTATCAGTAAACATTTTATCAGTAGACATTTTATAAGTAGACATAAGAGTTAAAATGATGCAATTAGCAAAAGCCAATCATTTTATATGCAGATCAAATCATATGACACGTTATGCAAGCTTACAGTTCGTGACCAATAATTTACTTATTTGCTTCCAATCGTGTTCATGACTCCATGTCATTATAGAATATATTACAGAAAATGTGAACCATTTTGATATAGGTATTATTAATTTGGTTACTTGTGTATTTGATACAATATTTTGTTTTTATTGTTTTTTAGGTATGAAACTTTGACCAGTATGCTTCTCCATTTGCTGATCTTATCGTACCCGTTTCTCTGGATGTATATATTATATAAATACAACTATACTTACAGGTATAGTACAAAGTTCACCTAATAAAATATAGTATCTATAATAATTTTTTCTTTTTATTTAATTTTTAAAACTTGCCATTAAAAGTTAAGGAAAAATTTTTTATAAAATTAGTATTCATTTTGTCTATAATACAACTGTAATTATACCCAAAGGTTCGTGTAATATCATATCATATCTATAATACCTTACTTATTATATCATATTGTACCATACTTACTTTACTATATACTCTTTTGATATTAGTGCTTCTAAAAGATTTTTAATCCTAAAGCTTTATCACATTTGGTACATTTGGTGAGTTATTGTGTTTAAATTTGGCTTTAATTGCATGAAGGCTTTTTTACGATACAACTTGAGACAAATAAAAACACTATTAAAAAATAAAATAAAAATTCAATGATTGGTTTAATAAAAGATAAAAAAATAATGCAAAAATAATTTACATACCTGAATAAATATTGCAGAAAGATCTTTAATGAAAATATTAATGACATTTAATAGATATATATTTGCTAAATTTACAAAAAATTCATCAATATTTTGAGAAACATTAATCATATCTAATATGATTCTTATTTTAAAAAATAGTAATACTAATAAATCAATATGATCATTAGTAAACTTGATTTGATGAAATATTGAAGTAATATCATCACATATTTTGATTTGAGAAATTGATGAACAATATCTCATAAACCATCCATTAATAACGAGATTTATTATAAAGTAATTATAATTTTCCAAATATTTGAATATTCAAATAATGGTTTAATATTTATATATATTATTCCTCATCAAAATTAATATTAATTTGGTTTAATCCAAGTTGATTCTTTAATTGTAAAATTTCTGCTTTGTTAAAGCAAAATATTAAGGTCAAGGTTATAAAGTAATTTTTTTTCAGTTTGCAAAAGGATTTGCATAAAGCAAAGGAATAGTTAACTAATAAACATATAAATAAAGTTGAATGATCATTTTGAAGGTATTGTAAAATGTGATAAACACAATCATCTGTTAAATAAAATAAGTCATTTAAAAATTTAGGAAGGAAAAAAAGTTTTCACGGTATATCAGAATAAGTTATTATAAGCATGATTTTAGATGTCATATTGTACATAACTTTCGTAATACTGCATAAAACTATGGTAAAACTAGTAAAACTTGTATCAGGTAACAATACCATACATATTTCTTTCTCTTTATTTTTTTTTCAACTTTGCATTTTGTGCCATATGATTCTGAATAGCACATGTTACAATTTGTGATAATGCTCATAATTGCTGCACTATAACATAGTTACTGTAAACATTTTTTTGATGCTGATTATAAATGGGTTTCAAAAATTAGGTTTTATTGGCCCATTTCATTAGTTCTGTCTCTAAATCCTTCTTTATTAACCTTTTAGTTGATTGGATTTTCTCACCAGATATTTTTAGTTACCTACTAATAATAATGAAAATTAATATTGAAATCTTTTGATTCTATTCAAAAAGAAAAGAATTAATCAAAAATTTTTTTTCTCAATAAATTTAAATTGGTTTCAAGTACTAAGGGATATGCTGGTAATTGCAATACATTAGAATTAGTTTATTAAAATCATTTTATTTAAAAATTTAAATAAAAATTTTAATGATTAATAATGCTCTAATACTATGTGTGATGACACTCAAATTACTTATTTTAGATGTTAATGCTTTATATGATTATAAGTTCTGATAAAATTTTTTAAATAATCAATTATTTAATTAAATGAATAGTAAAAATTAAAATAAGCAGAAAATGGATAAATAATAGAAATCTATCAATAAATGGGCAAACCTAATGATGTTGAAAACAAAAAGCAAGAATAATAATTAGATAGCAATCATGCTATCAATTAATATTTTTTGGAATATTATAAAATACACAAAATATATTTATATTCTAGAGTTATAGTTAGTAATAAAGAAATTAAAATAATTATTAAAACCTTTAACTGCACTTGTTCAATATACTGTATAAGATTGATAATCACATACGGTGATACAATTTACTGTTCCAGCAATTTTATGCAAATCGGCACGTGATAAACACCACAAACACTTCAATGAAGATCTCTCTACCTTACGACATTGGCTTCAACTCCTATTGAGAAAATTCAACCTCAAAACTAACTACAACCCCACCACGGAGTCACTTACAAAACATCGGTGGCTCACAGATTTCTCCTTCTTTCTATTCCTGGCTCTTCTTTTTTATTTGTGGTGTTAGTTAGTAGGCTTTCTAAGCCTTTTTTAGTACTTTTAGCACTTATAGATGATAGAAATTTTTTTGGTGTCCGGGTTTACCATGTAGAGGGCTTTTTCTTTTTCTTTCTCTTTATATTATTTTTTTAGTGTTATACAATACAGGTAATGCCAAATTTTGTTCTTTTCAATAACAGGTAGCACGATCCTCGCGAGGGTTGGGTTCATACTAGCATAGTGGCACGTTGTAGTTTCCTTTTGTAAGGTTTTAGTTCCCGAGTCTGTATGGCTCCTGCTATTGTCTACATTTCTAAAATAAAAATACGAATAAATTAAAATTGGTCAAGGAATTAAATTATATCAAAATTATTTCTATTTTGATAAATGTCAAAGCCTGCTACGGATAGTTGCAGTTCTCTTACCCAATAAATTAAAGAGAGTATTATTTTGATATTATTTTGTATAACTTCTACTACTTTAAATAAAGATTATAGTAAATAACTTTCTATTTAATTATTTCTGCGTATTTTAATCAGTTCAATAACAAAACCGTTTCTAAAATTAAAAAATAACATTTTGCTTTCATATCCCACCTTAGTAGATCCAAAGAAACTTTGTATTGTTACATTATACCTCATGTCTCTTTACGTCATCTAATAACAAAATATCATATCTTATATACAATAGAAATTGATCTTTACCTATTTAAAAGTAATAAAGTGGGTGTTTGACAAGTTTTATTGCGTGTTCCTCCAAAAATTTGATATATTATAGTGAGTTTTTTTTTTATTAAATAAAATAATGATAATACTTTACATGTTAATTATGAGATTAGATACTGTAATATCATTTACTTTATTTACTTTATATGAGTAATAATACAAACTAACATATTTTAAAGATACGCAGTATATTATTATAAGTTTTATAACTGGTATTCATTGTCCGTATAGATTCACATTTCACAGTATATTATAATCAGTTTTATAACTGGTATTTATAAGTATATCAGTAAACTTTTTTATTGTCCGAAGCGTAGAACACACTCCAAACTAGGGAATATTAATATCATTGATATCATTGATCATCACAGTTCCGCCGTGATTAATTCTAGGATCTTGTGTAACTACAGAAATGTCATTTTTGTTATGTATATCACGCATGTTTAATTTATTTAAGCTTTCAAGCACTCACTTATTTTTTTGGTATACAATAAAAAATTTATACTAAAACCATTGTCAAACTATATATCAAAAATAAATTTAGCTTGAATAAAAATTTTAATAAATTTATTTTAATTAACAATAATAAAAGTTTTAATAATATGGGGAGTATTACACATTTACACAATATCATTAATTATGCAAGTATAGTTCATCATTAAATCAATTAATATTACTAGTTTAGGTTAAATAACTCGTAAATTAATTGTGACTCATAGATAATCTTGATTTTTTTATCTATTTTATTATTAGTCACATGTATTCAAAGGGTTTTTAAAAATATATATATACCCTTAAATTACCTCAAGGAAAAAATCAAAAACCAAATTTCAATATTATTATTTACAATTATCAATCAAAATCTTTCTAAATTCAATTCAAATTTCAAATTTTTAAACTGTAATTCAAAATGTCTTATCATTTGTGTGCAAATATTATCAATACTATTTTAAATGAAACTCCTATTAACAAATGCTACAATAATCCTCAACCAATCATTGAAACATCTCAACATTTACATTTACCATTACTTACTGGATTTTTTTACATTCTTTTTATCATTCTCCTCACATATACCAATATTCTCAATAACATAATTGTTATAATTTTACGTTCATTGAAATTCATATGCACTACAATCCTTTTCATTCCCAACTATCTCCCTACTCTTCCATATCTCTTTAATATATTTTATTCTTTTGAACATTTATTACTATCTATATTATTATCACTCCTTCTTAATATTTTGTTTACATTATCATCAATTCTTCTTTATTTTCTTTTTTTTCTTAATTGTATAATTCATATTCTCCTCTTTTCTTATTCTCTACTTTATAAAATAACATATTTAGTAAATATTATTCTCCTTTTAATCTCCCAATAGCTTAATTAAATAATATTATATTACGTAGCTTGGCCCATTGCTTACCAAATATAGCATGGAGACGTAATCTTTACCCTTTGGTCAACTTGGGATTACTTGACCATTCTTAGATAGATAATTTTTACAAGGGGATCGTTTGCATCACCCATGAAGCATAGCACTGCGCTGATTGGTGTCAGAGAGATCCTTTGTCTTGTAAAAATTTACCCTTTCTTGATCATTTGACCATTCTTAGATAGATAAATTTTATAAGGGGATCGTTTGCATCGCCCATGAAGCATTGCACCACGCTAATTGGTGTCAGAGAGATCCTTTGTCTTGTAAAATTTACCTTTCTTGATCATTTGATCTATCTCATGTGATTTCCTTCTTCACATATGATACCCTTTATTTTATTCCTTTGTTGAGTTCTTTCCTTAATAACTTATCAACTCAACAAAATCCATCACCGTTGGTTCCACAATTTTTGTGTCCAAGTTCAATTCTTGGAGGTGATTTTCTTGTTAATTAGTTTATCTTTTTTTTTTCTTCTTTTATGGAGAGCTCCAGACGAAATTACGAACTAGACTTCAGGTATTTATTGTTAAAAGTGGAAAGGGTTAAAAAGGTCAATTACTTAGATCAGTAAATTGAGGTAGTGGAATCCAAAAAGCTTGATAATTATAGTATAATATTATTAAAAATGAAATAAAATATATCTCTTCTTCATATTTGTGTAGACAACTAAGTAATTTAATTTTACCAAATGATGCAGACATTTTTTAGTAAAGAGATAAAGGAAGACATTACTAGGCTAGCTGTTCTAAGTCCCAATTATCTATACTACCACTGAATTTCCATTCAGTATCCTTATGGTCTACGAAATTTTTTTTTTTTTCCTTGAGTGTTGAAGCTTCAATAGGTTGAATTCTGTTGAACTATCGTGTACACTAATATAAAAACCATGGCAAGCCCATAAACTCCAGTTTTCGTTGCAGATTCATGTACGAAGAGATCAACTATGGTGCATATACCTCAGTTGTTATGGACCCAAATTGTATTGCCGCATAAAGAAACGAAATTTTTGACATGTTTTCCGGTTGGATGGGAAGTTATTCATTCCAAAAAGGATCTCAGCATGTTTGTCCACGCTTAGTGGAGAAAGAGGTATGTCCGCCAACTCTACAAAATTGATCTCCCGTATTCGTCTGTTTAATTTATGAAACTCTCTTGCATGTAGTATCAGTCCTTTTGAGATTGATAATTTCTCCCCATCATGGTCTATGGTGGGATAATTTGTGAAAAATACTTTTGATTGTTATCGATATTATGCCTGCCATTAAACTCACCACAGTTGTGTGGTCTGTTGATCTACACATAACATCTCCAAGAGTCTGGATCAGTTTTGATAAAAATCTATGGCCAGTATCATAATTCTCAGATAAGAGCTTTTCAAACTCATCAATTGTGACCACAATGACCCACTCGTCTGCTGTAATCTCTCATGTACTACTCTAAGAGCTTTTTTAGGCGAAAAATCTGTATGAAAAATGTTGAGACCTGCTTCCTTGAGATCATCAACAAAGTCATCAATTCCCGCTTAGGATTAACAAGAACTGTATGTTATAAACAAGGTTCACACTTTTTTTGACGCCAATGAATTAAATCCAGGTCAGGTGGTTTTACCCATTATTATAGGATAAAACAACAAGGTCCACTAAGTTATTCAATAACGTATTTTTCCAAAGGTCGAGTCTTCCCAACTCCAGGTGTATCCATTACGAGTCCAATTGAATGGCAGTTGTGGTCTTCCACTTCCTTTGAGGTAAGTATTCAAATTAGATTGAAACCGCCCTTCAAAAAGACCAAAGGCAGGATTACGTCGATAGTTGTCCATACGAGCAAAAGACTCTTCTATCCTTTGAGAGAAAATTTCAAATTATAATTGTAAACAGAAGTTTAAATACGTAAAAACAGTGTCATGTAATGATGGATAAAATGTATTATATAAATATACACTCAAAACCGAAATCATCTATTTCATTTCCACGAAACTTTCAAATTTGTCACAAGGTGGATCAGAGACGTGTCACACAGAACTAACGATTTCAGTAAGAAATCTGGACTAGCTGGATCGGGAATATATAGCATATGGTTCCGTTCTAATTTTGGCTTAAGAAGTTACCCCCTTACTGTGCATAGAATATAATGCAATTCATAAGCTAATAATATTTTTTATTTTTATTTTTATCGGTAAACGCATTTTATTTCTGTAAGTGTAGAAGAACAAGTTATAAAAAAAAATACATTGAAATTTAGTCAACGCTAAACGTATTCCTAAATCTCTCCATACCGAAATCTCCGTATAATAAAACGAAGTAAAGACTAACGGCTAATAATATAGCGTGTAAGTTATTTATTTAATTCTATTATTACATATTGTATATTATTTAAACTAACTAAATTCTTTGTTTAAAAAATTATTTATTAACTATTAAACAATTAAAATAAAAAAAAAATTATCATAAATTCTTTGGTAAAGAATTCAAAATGCCATATGATAAAACTAGAAATAATCAAAGCGTTCAAAAAGCTCCCTATGTTCGTTCTCCTCGAACCCGCAAACATATACCATGTCACTGTCAGAAATGTAAAGGAAAATTAGTAGATCCTAGAACGAAAAAATCGCATGATTCTCTCTTTACAAATAGAATCATACCTCAAAGATCTGACAGAAACAGGTTGGACGATTGACATTGGGAATAATTCAAAGTTCATCAGTAGTTCGTCAGCATAGATATAAACGACAAAATGTCACGATCAGAATTATACTGTTAAATGTGGTTTTATTTGCATAGAAAATCAATTACATGATTCAATAATACATAGGCTTGTTTTACAAAATAAAAAGACGTTTCTATACTATTTTCTATAGACCACACCAGTGTTTCGTTTATCTAAACTATTTGTACTAACACAATATTCCAACATTAACTCTAATTCGATTTCATTTGTTATTTTATTCTGTATCAATAATGCCTGTTATTTCTCCGTCTTCCGTAAAAAATTCCGTGAAAATGATACATTCATGGATACCCGTGTTAGCGAGGTGAAAATTTCCAAGATTAAAACACGGATCAGATTTTTTACAGGGAAAGTGACATAATTTTTCTATTAGCTGTACGCATTTTGCTCAAAGCCGGACGGAATTATAGTAACGTCAGCCAGTAACTAAAAGGTAATAGGAATTATCACGGACTACTTTTATTTTATTTATTAAATTTATTTATAACAAAAAAAAAAAATATTGTAAATTTATTCAAATATTAATTAAATATTCCAATACAAAAATGACGTATAAATTACAACAACCTTTAAATTCTATAACTTTGATAAGATATTTTAACGATAACAAATAATTTAATCAAATAAATTATTTCAATAATCTAAGAACCATCTAATTCGTTTAATACATTTAATTCGAATTTGGTATGATAATTTTGCCCATTTACTTGATTAAATGCTCTAGCTTTAATTTCCATATCACCAAATGATAAAGAAAATGAGCATGGTCTTTTATTTTCTAATTCTACATCGGGAAGATCAATAAGTAATTTCCCAAGTAATTTCATACCAGGTTCATCATCATCACAATAAATAGTATCTTCTTTTGTATAATAGATATCAAAACTCATTCTTGTTTGATCTGAATAAATAGGAATTAAGTCTTCAACTTTAAATTCTTGATCAATTGTAACTATAGTTTTACGTTCTGCAATACAATAAAATTTATGAATTCTTCCATCACTTTTACGTCTATCTATTGGATCTCCATATTCCCATAAAGGAGATATTCTAATTCCAAATGTATAAGTTAATACACGAGTTGCAATAACACATTTTAAATTATTCATATTTTTCATATTTTTTGATTCTTGTAAACTTTTTCCATATATTGCTGCACCACGTAAAACTGCCGCAATAGGTTGATTCGGAATTGAGATATTTTCTACCAAGTCACTAAATTCTTCCTCAACTCTTTTTTGTAAATATTTTGATTGACCGAAACCTCCAACTAAAAATATTGCTGAACATTTTTCAGAATTATTTAATTGAACACGAATCATTTTAATAATTCTATCAATAATAGGATCAAACATAGATTTAACGATTTTATAATCAAGAACAATCATCCATTCTTCTATAAGCATTGAATCTCTCTCCGAACCAGTAATATATGGTAATAATTTAGGAGCTAATGCTTCAAGATCTAACTCATATTTACAATTTAGATCATCTCCTGTGAACTTTAACTTGACATCTTGACAAAAATTTTGAACCAAATATTGCAATTGACCATAATGCTCATTGATAAATGAATTTACGGCTGAATTTCCAACTTCACGCTTTAGTAATTCTATAAATTCTTTATCAATAAAAGTACTCCCACAAAAGTCACCTGCCCGTTCAGTGATTTCACCTAATTGGTTTTCTTCCAATAATTTACGTGTTGTTAAATCTACCGTACCACCGCCACAGTCAACGACCATGAAGTTTGCTTTATTAGTAAAGAATGAAATAATATTTGGTATTTTAATATAATATATTTAATAAATTGATCGATAAATACTTTAAACATACTTCCGGGTTTTGCAAGTTCATGTTCCTTTAGGCTGCTATGCATACAATAAATTGCTGCAGCTTCAGCTATATTTATTTTAAAGAATAATTCTGTTAATATTTCATCATTAAAAACATAATAAAAATTAAACTTACGTTCAGTTGTAAATTGTAATTTTTCCGAATGTATGTCACCTATCAAACCAGCATTGAATATACATTCTCTCATTATAGCCTTATCACTTTCTGAATATTCAGCTGGTACAGTAGCAATTAAAAGGACATTTTCCATAAACTTAATATGTATCCAGTACGATTTAACTGTTTCTTTGATTAGCTTTATTAATTAAAATGAATAAAATTAGTGATTATAGTATATTATATTATATCTAAATTAATTAAAATTGGTTTACCTTTCCAATTTCATGAAGATAATCAGTAATCACTTTTTTATAATTTAATGGTTCGGGCAAAACTGGCTTATGCTTATCTAAACAATTACCTAAATATAATTTAAATAATTCTATTGGTCTTGTTTCATTATCTTTGCCTTTCGTATTTGGTTTTTTACATAAGGCTGGATGACCCCATAATTCAACTTCCTCAAAGCCATCTTTGTATTGAAGTACAGTATTTGTCTTCAATATCCCCAGTCCAGTATTTTCAGGCCATTCATGATTTACTTTGATGCATCCGACATCTTTATCCTCGCAATGATAATAAGAAAATCCCTATCAAAAAAATATATATTTATTTAATTTATGACCGCATCTAATCTACTATAACATAATGAAACTACATTTACCGAATAGGTAGTTCCGAAATCTATTGTTTAAATATTTAAAATAATTAATTTAATACTAAAAAAGAAAAAAAATATATTCAAATCGATATGTTTTAATTGTTATAACTATACCTAAACCAACCACAACACGAATATCGCTTCTCCACGTCATAATTTTTTTTATGATTTAATATGTAAATAATTACTAGAGAGGTTGAAATTAATAAAATATATTATTGATCATACAGTATTTATATAAAAACTCATAACTATCAAAAAAAAAAAAAATAATAATTAATAATATTTATTATATAAATTAGGTTTCTTGAAAAATTCTTTATCTGTAAAATCTTTTTTAAAATACAAAAAATACAGGCAAAAAGTTTTTTTTTTTTCTTTTCATACATTTTTATTTTTTGATTTAATAATTTCTTTATATGGTTACATGAAATTTGAAAAAGGAAAATTTTTACGCCATGGATTTATATATTTATTAATTAAGTTTATTCATTTAAACTTTTTTAATTTCATTCATTAATGTTTCCGGTAAAGAGCACCAGAAAAATCATTTTTTCCATTTTTTCCAAAAGGAAACAATGGACCATCATGCAATATGACGTCCCACATATTTTTGTATTTGATATAGCAGATAAGATCCATTGCATATTTGGATGTAAAACTTAGGGGAGTTGCCAGAAATTACATCATTTAGGGTTTAAGGTTTTGAGACCTCCCCTCTCCCCTGTCATTATCTATTTTAGGAAATCAAAAATTATTATGTAATTTGTCCAGAATTAAATATGTTATTAATTACTAAAAATAGAAGGTCATCCTGGCCTTACCCCTCCCCTCAGGAAATTACGTAATTTTTGGCACTTCCCTTATTTATAGTCCATATATATATCCACAATTGGCATGTTTAATTCCGTTATTTCCGTAGTCTTGGTAAAAACATTATTCTGCTGACGTTAAGATTTCAGAACAACTTTCTCAATAAGAAGTTAAAATGATAGTTTATGATTTATTTGTAATTTTTTTCTATTTTGTATAAATTTCAAAGATACGAATATGTTCACAAAGACTGAATACGTGAATTGATTAATTGCATTTTTCTTATATACTTGATGGAGTACAAAATCATAGAAATGTAATGTGAAATAATCACAAAAACTGGATTTTTTTTAAGAAACAAAGGTCCTGCGGGTTATATATTTTGATAATTTATTCGTATATGGTAAACAGTACATATAATATTCATAATTTCATATAATACATTATTAAACATTAAAACTTCACCGTTAGTCATACCACAATTAAATATTTGGCTCTGCAGCGAAAGATTTTGGTTTCCGAATTTCATATCATGGTCCGATAACCTGCGCCACAATTCCACAACTCTACAAAAATTAGAGACAAAACCACTATCAGATAAGTCCGGAAGTTGACTTGAAGTTTTTTCCTTTTACTTTAAAGTCCATTATCAAGATTTTAATTTCGATGATTAACTCAGAAATTGAAGTAAGTAAACTTTAAAATCCGATACATAAAAAGGTTATTATTTTCATGAAAAGATCTTTTTGTCTTAATCTAGTAAATGAAGATTTATTTATCAAGAAATATTTTAAAAATAAAAGCTTACTAATTACAATGAAAAATTACTAATTATTAATACTATCATCTGTTGGAAATATATAGGGTTTTAACTGTTTTGATATCAAGGTACTTTTTAATGTGAAACCGAAATTCAGCGAATATTTCACCTTCAGAATTCCAAATTTCTATATCCTATTTTAAGAAGAAATCAAATATAATTATAACTCGAAGGTGAATAGTTTAATATATTAAAATTTAAAATAGAAATACAGTCGGACATCTATGTACCGATACTGTTGTTTTGGGAAAAATATATCGGTATATCAAATTATCGTTACATATACCGTCATCAGTGAATCATAATGCGGGCCAAAACCAAATTCTTGCCAGCATTATGCAAACTCCAATATATTAAAATGTAATGTGATTTGGATGGAACCCAGTGTTCAAAATTCAATAGGAAACCCATGTTAGCACAGCACACATGATTGTTTTTAGTTATGTGAGCAATATTGAAGATCATGTGCGCTATATGTGTGTGCGCACATCAAAATTTAAGAGATGTTTGCAATGCGAACATGTTTATTTAATAAAATGTTTTTTATACATATTATATAATTTCTTTATGTTATTTTATTATCATAAAAAATATGAACATAATGATTTTTATATTTTATTATTAATATTTCCAAATCTTCTCTCCTTCATAGTAAACCAATACTCATAACTCAACTAACTGTTAACGGTTTAACGCGTTTTTGTGGTTAATGCGTAAATATTAAATAACGATCATTATTAAATCATCTGATGTGCGCAGCAAGTGTGCGCAATGATCAAAATCATGTGCGCATCAAATGTGCGCAATTTTTTGTGTTCGCAATCAATTTTTTGAATTTTTTTATGTTAGCAAATCCGAACCCTCATTTATTATAATTTGTGCGCAAATTTAAAATGATGTGCGGATCGCACATCCAATTTTGACCACTGATTATTTATTGGAACCTTTATGTTAATCCGGCCAAATTTATAGTGTTGGCCCGAATTAATGCCAGTGTAAACTAAAGTATCAGTGCATCTTACTATGTATTAATTATAAAGGGGCAAAGAAAAGTATTGGTACATGTTACATCGTGAAACTATGTATAATATCGGTACAATGAGCTTTTTTTATTAATTGTGAAACGGAACAGAAAATTTATCGGTACAGGCAATTATCGATATATAGGTCTGACTGTATATATCTGAGATGAATATCGTGATACTTTGTAAGGCAATTGGGTTAGGGGCTTAATAAATGTTGCATTTAAAAGCCGAATCTTGTAATTATATTGAATTAATTAAAAAAGATTTATAGTATTAATTGACATACAAAGATAAAATTTAAGCGAATGATTAACAAACTTCTTAAAGAATCATTAATTAAACATGCAAATACTATCTGATATTTAAGCATTAATTAGGTGCCTATTAAGAGATTTGTGAACTTTAGTAATTACCATAATACTATTAATTCATCTAAAACCTTCAATTGCATAACCGGGTAAACCAAGAGCGCCAACAGTATCCCATAATTCAAGGAATTTTACTAGGGAACGGGAACCGTTGTAAGTCTGGAGCGAAAAACTAAAATTTGTGATTTCATTGGGCGACGATCACGTGGCGGACAGAGAACTTTGCTAACAACCTAAAATTTTATAAATGTATTGTAAAATTATTGTCACAATAAATTGTGTACAAACCATGATAAGATACTTGTTATTGGGTTTGTAGGGACATCGTACAATATGCTTCTATTACAAATTTTGATATTAACTTATTGATATGTAGTAAGATTGATTACAAAAATATATAGTGGAAAAGCGTTGTAAAATTAATTATAAAATGGAAATTGTAAATAGATCGTAAGATAAATATTAAAAATTTATTATAAAACGATTTGTTATACATGTAATGTAAATTTAAATAATAAAAATAAATTGTGTAATTAATTATAAAATATATATATATGTGTGTAATGAATAGGAATAAGGCAATTTAAGAATCATAAACTCTCGTAGCCACGCTCAATTAAGGAAATGTATTACTAGACCTATGCTAAAGATGACTTTAGCAAGGCTTTCTTTGTGAATTAAAGAAATTTCATACACCTTGCCAGCTGGTGGGAAAGCCTATGATTTTAACCCAAATCCCCAAATCCCAAATCCCCAAACATTTAGAGACCTGGATCATCTAAAAAAAAGAGTAAATTGAAATGTTGTAAAATATTTCATTGAAATGCATAATTAGAACAGAGTCTCACCAAATTTTCCATGCGTTCAAGCCAACCAACTGAAAAGGAAAGATGATGAATGTTAGTGACTATTCGCTAAAAGAAAAAATTTGAAGAAAAAAGTTGAATAACTTACAAAGTTCGCGTCTAAAGGAGCCAATTGTCTAAAAAAAAGAAAAAAAAAAGTTAGTATTTGTTTGTTAAAGTAAATAACTTAGTAAAAAAAAAATATATCTTACCAAAATTCTGCATCTAAACATTCAAAGAACTAAAGATCTATCTCATTAATAGGTTAGCATTTCATTAAAATTAAACACACTGTAATCTGCATCTCTAAAGATATCCAAAGAAGAAGCCATCTAAAAAAGAGAAAAAACAAAATGTTAGCAAACGTTTTGTTAAAAAAATAATTAAAAAATAATCATTTTCTACCAAATTCCCACGTGTCCAAGAATTAAGCCATCTAAAAAAAGGAAATCAAAATGTCAGTATTATGTTTCAATAAAAATAATTCAGTACTAAAAAAAATGGAATATCATTTTTTTTTATAACTTCAATAAAAATACATACAAAACCATAAAATAATATCTTGTTATCAATATTTTTAACATACTCTAAATTTTTAAACACATGTTTAATTGCTAAACCTTTGTTAAGAAAGAAAGAGCTTGTAGGGAAATATCAAGTCCTAAAGAAATCCACCTAAAAAAAGTAAAAATCGAAATGTTAGTAAATGTTTCGTTAAAAGAATAATTTAAAAGAAAAATAAAATTCCTACCAAAATCCTATGAATTAGCCTAAAGACCAAAGACTGCATACCTAGTTGTCTAAAAAAAAAAAGAAAAAAAGAACTAAGAAACTATTCAATAAAAACAATTAAAGAAAAAAAAAATATGAACTTACTGAAATGTAGTGTCAGAAAGATTGAGAGAACCACTTAAATATAAAGAATATTTAAATGGAAAGTACAGGAAAAAAGGACAGGAAGAGGGAAAGAAAGGACAAAGGAAAGGATAAGAGAAAAGGAAATGAAATAGGATAAAATGATAAAGGATTTGAAATTAAAGGTACAGTGGTAAAAGTTAAAAAAAAAAGTTGTTCATCATATTTATTAATTTTAATCACATGATACATGTGAAATATGCTGATATTAACTAAAAAAAACAACCTGTCAGCAGTAAACATTTCATTATTTGATTTAAAGTGAGAAAAAAAATCCCCTCAGTTCTCCTTACCGAATTCTCACGCGTTCAGATACCAGAAGACTGGTCGTCTACAAAAAGAAGGAAAAAGTAAAACGTTAGAATTAT